GTTTGATATAACACAATTTCAAACAATATAATTAGGGGATCCCCGCTCCATCAGTTTGGGGGTCCTTATTCTGGAAAACATTGAAGACACCTGCTACAGAACATTTTACACTATAGCACAAAGATTCCAAAATAAAAGAAAATTAAAAAGCAGTCCACTGGACTTTGTTTCCAAGTTTAAAGACGTTTCGCTTTCCATCCAGGAAGCTTTTTCAATTCAAAATGTCAAAAATTGCGTTGAATTCCAGGTTTTATACAGTAGCCCCAACTCAACACAAAGTAGGCCAAAGTAAAATAAAGAAGATAGAGAGAATAAGAACATGAGGAGTATGTGTCATATTCAGATTCAGGAAATGATCTGAAGGCATTAAAGATGAAGTCCTCATTGCTTTCAGATTTGTTGAACTTTTTAAAGATCCCAAACATGTTCTCACTTCCATTTTGAAAGTAAAAACATTGTTTTTATCACATTAAATTTATGAATGTAGAAGATTCCAAAAAAATTAAAGAAATTTAAAATAAAAAATGCTATTTGAATAAAAAAAAAATTCCACAGGCTGCAATCATTGTACATTTACTGCATATTTAAGGTTATCTTTTACATTCATTCGGTGAGATATATAATTAACTCTTGCCCGTTTGAAACTTTCTATCTTCATGTCAAAATGTATTTTTTTCAAGTTTCGAGGATTAACAAACCTGATAGTAAAAGATTTTAGGACCAATATTTATGTTAAGGAAGTTACGCAAGAACCCCACATTACCAGGTTATTTACAGAACCCCAACGGATAGTAAAATGGAACCAAAACAATAACAAGGAAATAAATTATTACATGAAAGAATGCCTTGTTGCAGCAGTTTGAGTTTAACCTAAAGTAAGGATAAACAGTTTCTGAGAATCTGGTTAAAATATCTGGCATCCATGAGGAAAAGTCTGAGCTATTTCACATCCTGTGTGGGGTTACAGATTAAACCAGAAGGAATCTTTTTTATCCCCATCATTCCTTGTCAGTGTCCTCAGCATAAAAAAGCATTAAAAAAAATATCTGGTCATTTTTGAATTTATTTGTTGTGGAAAAAAATAAAATTATAACTATATAACTATATATATATATAAATAAAATAGTCTAGAAAGGTAAGAAGAAAAAAGTGTTGTTTCATATATCTATGCTTAACCAATTAAGACTGTCTGAGTTTGTATAAAATCAAAATGTTTAGACTCACAAGCAGGTTCCTTCCTTGTCGATATTTACCCAGAATTCTTCTTATGGTTTATATAGATAGACATGAAAACCTTTTGGTTTATTTATCATGTTCAGAGAAAATAGAAATTTATTAAGCTGCACAAATGGGTTCTCTTTAATTCAATTAGCTCTAGATTTTTCTTCTGCTGTCCAAATTTAATTTTTTTTATTTTTTTCCAGATTTAACTTTATGCTCCGTGAGGATAAAATGAAGGGCAAAGATCCTTCATGAATTGTTGACACTATAATCATTGTTTATGATAGAAACTGGATGGAAACCTGTATAATTATTTTGAAACCATATCAAAATAACACCAAATTCCATGCAGCCATTTAGGACACAATATGTCCACTAGAGGTCCTTGAATTCACCCCATTAAGGCAGCATTTTCACTCAGGCCTACTTTCATTGTCCTATTGTTTTTGTTTTTCCTGCGTTTTCTGTTCCGCTTATAGGCTTACAATTTATATTTTCCCATATTTCTGTTCAAATACTAATACTGGATTAAAATGATAATCTGGGCAATTATTAAGCAGCATGTGTACTTGTTTATAGCCTGTTTAAAATATTATGTTATCATGTAATGTCATGTTATATAAACAAATATTTTTAGCAGCAGTTCCTGTAGTGTGTTAATCTATGTGTGGATGAGATACAGCTTAAGATCAAGGCTTATTGTGGTTGGCTGATATGAAAAGTTGAAGTTGAAAGATATTTCTGTACTCATTATTTCTCTTTTCCATTAATAAACTTTACTTTCACATGTACTTTTTGCCCTCTTTGAATAAAGTACAACAAGACCAGACAAATCAAGATTTTACTGATAGAATATATGAAAAATTAGAACAAGATTTAAATCAGCCAAACAAACCAGAGCAGTTTTTTTCTTCCACAAAGTGAGTCATCTTCTCATCACACTATCTTAGTGTGATGTGAAGCTCCCTTATCTATTTCAATGTATATGAATAAATTCCAAAACAATGTATAGATTCAAAGGTCTCTTTTAATGATGTCATGATGTTGTTTCCTTGTTGTATTCCAGCTGTTATCCTTGATTGACTTCCTCTTGTGGGATCTCTGTGGGACCTCTTTACTGTCTTTACTGTAAGGAACCTCATGGGTTGATTCAGTCTTCAGATATTGTCTTACGGAAGCCTGCATTGCTAAAAGGGGTTGTCTAATCTCTGCAGAACTGATTGAAACCTTGTCACATGATGGCAGCTCTCGTTCAAAGTACAGGAGTTTCCAGTAAAGCAAGACTTATCCACCAAAGTTTTTCAAAGTTTCAGCTCTTCCGTTTTCATAAAAAGGTAACACAGCACAAATTGCTAGATTATTCCTAATTTACTTAAATTTTTTAATTGTTTTATTTTTTTTATTGAAATTCCTAATGTGCAGGCATGTTATAAATGTAATTTTTTATTACAGCATTGAAAGGACTTCTATTCAGCCATAAGCCTGGATCTATATCTGCAATTTAAAGATTCATCATTTCCATGAGGTTCATTATCACATTGGACTTTTCATGATCCTTCTAAAGTGGCATCATGGCAAAAAAAACAACTGGGATGAATTTAAAAAATGAGTTAGAATCTATGGAGGATTGTCTTTTTTTAAATAGGTAGAGTCTAAATTGTTACTGATTTCTTTTGAGGTCCAAGTTTTGTCCAACATTAATTATATATGCAATGATTTGAGATGGAAATTAAGCCTTTGACATATTTCTCTATTTTTACTTTCTTTGCTTTTTTCTTTTTCAAACTTGTGCTTAAAGGTATAGAGGCTTCTTTCTTGCTCCGCACCACCTCAGTCCAAGGAGAGGAATGTGGAAAGTGACACAGGTGTACTGTGCTAGGACCCTTTAGGTGGCAGGGATCCTGATCGTTTTAAAGTAAGGAGATAATTTATGTTAAAGGACTGAAAAGAGAACATAGGATGATGATCCCAAACACTCATCAGAAAAACTGGACTCAATATAACTAGATTTATTAAACTTCACTAAACTGTTCAAAACATTAACAGAACTACACATGAAATTAGCATTCTTCTGCAACATTTTAAGAACATTTAACCAAATAGTAAAACTGGTTATACTATGTCTATCATTCAGACATGTGCATTAAAATAAATACCCAGTAAATTCGAACTTGAACACCTATTTTGTTTTTAGTTTTTACAAATGATTACTGTTCTTTGTAGTCTGTTCCTTCTACTAAGCTTGTATTGATATCAGAATCCTCAACATGGGATTACATATAACTTAAAACATTGGGACTAAGCTAAATTAATATTTACAAAATGAATAGTAGTAACCGTTACATGAAAAAAAATGTCTGTGTGCAGTTTGGTACCGGTATATTGTTATGTTGTTTGAATTAAATTTGAAGTATTAATGAATTGCATTTTACTCATTTTTGTTTGAATAATATCAGCTCAAATCACTGAGTAGAAATTTATACTATATGGATGGATGCTGTGGGGGGGTGCTAAAGGGTGGGTCCCCGGGCCCGCCTGGTGTTGGCTGTTCCCCAGGGAGGTGTGTTGGTGGTGATGGTATCCGGGGAGGAGGCCCCTTGGGCGGATGGGAGGTGCATGGTAGAGAGACCCCCTGGAACCGGCTCCACCCAAGCGGGGGGACTTAAAAAGATTTCCGAGCCAGACCCCTGGTACAGCAGTGGGACTTAGAAAAATTCTTGACATCTGGACGGCTCCATGGGCCTTGGGGCCCACCGAACATTCCCTGGCCGGCCCGGCAGAGGCTCTGCCTGGCCTGACCGACAGCCCCAGGCCCCCTGACGGCCTGGAGCTCTGGACTTTGTCATTTTTTCTGAGTTTTGGACCCCTGGTACAGCGATGGGACTTTGAAACATTTCTGACGGCGGGACAGCTCCATGAGCCTAGGGGCTCACAGAACCGTCCCTGGCGAGGCTCTCCC